GTTTAGCTTTTCAGTTATGAGGAAATCCAAATGATGCACATACATCCTCCCCATGTTAGCTATGTGGTGGGGTACGCAAGCTGATGAAGTTTTCCCTAAAGCATGGCATGGATTGATGACTACTATTAGAGAATCAACTGCAGCTTAGGTACTAGTTACTTCCTTTAAATTATACTCTCCTAAAATCTAACCTGGCACACTCACTATTTCATATCTATAATACCTTCTATATTTTTTTGTTTTTATAAAAAATTTAAATACCCTGAGGAGATTGCTATCAGTTAAGAAGGGGTGACACCGAATTTACCAATAATACTAGAGGAACTACTCTGCTATAACTCCATAATCAACAAAATGGTTGTTTGGGGATCAAAATATTTCACAATTCTAACTTGCAGTTAAAAAAAAAGTTAACTTAAAGGAACAAGAAAAAAAAAAGTTAAATTCAAGTCAAGATAAAGCCAATAAGGGTCTCACTGAAAAATATAAAAGTACCAGAAACAGTTGCCTTATGTGTCCCTGAGAACCTGTACAAGAATAATATTTCCTAGTATTCATCAAAAGTGCCAAAAAATATATATTATGTTAATAAAGTAAGTAAATTACCTGAGTTCCCTTGCTTTCTTTTTCTGTTCTTCAAGAGGATTGGCACTTGAAGTAGAACCAAACCTGAAAACACAAATCTAAAAACACATAATTTACTCATGATTACAAATCAGTAAAGATTTGCAAGCAAGTTTGTTTCCACTACTAGAAAACATGGGATTTTCCTACGGAAAATAGCTACGGAAAAAAAATCCATAGCTAATTAGCTAAGGAATGGCCACGGATCAACTACAGAATAGGATGCCCTAATTTAGCAACGGAATAGCTACATATTAGCTACGGATGCTAGTCCGTAGCTATTCCGTAGCTCATCAGCTATGGAATAGCTACATAATCGCTAAAGATGGGAATCCGTAGCTATTCCGTAGCTCATTACCTACAGAATGGATACGGAATAGCTAAAGATCAAAATCCGTAGCTATTCTGTAGCTAATTAGCTACGCAATAGCTACGACCTAGCGACGGAAGAAAATAGCTACTGAATAGCGACGGATTTATAATTTCTCATTATTATTATTATTCCCATTATTATTATTTTTCATCATTCGACTCTTAAATTTTTTTTTCTGGATAATTCTTTCTTACATATTTAAGACATGAACAATTAAAGATCATACTAATAATACTATTAATAATAATATTTATAAACATCATAACAATATGTAACAATTGTAACAAATGGGTTTAACACACAAACAAACGATTAAACGGAAAAAAAACTACGTTTACACATCAATAAGGTGAGATAATCTATGTTTAATTTATAAATAATGAAAAATGATTATAATAAAGGAAAATATGTATGTATGTGTAACTATGTGTATGTGTATGTATGTATGTATGTATGTGTATGTACTTGAATGTGGGTATGTATGTAAATGTATGTGTGTATGTATATGTATGTGTATGTGTGTATTTGAATGTGTATGTGTAGGCATGTGTGTGTATTTAAATGTATATGTAAGTACATATGTGTATGTGTGTGTATATGAATGTGTATGTTTATGTTTATCTATGTATGCGTGTCTACATGTATGCATATTAATAAGTATTACAATATTAAATTATTAAATGAGTAAGAGATCTCGAAGGTGCACACGACTTTGTGAACGATGTTAATATGTATAAGTTGGTGAAAATATAGATAATCATTATGTATATTTTCGTCAACTTATAATTATTAATATCATTCATAATGTTGTATGCACCTTCGACATCAAGTACTCGTTTCACAGTTTAACAATGTAATGACTATACTTTTCACCAACTTGTTATAGGTTTATGTATGTATACATGAATGAGTCGTGATATATATATATATATATATATATATATATATATATATATATATATATACACGTGCATATGTGTATGTATATGTGTTTGTGAGTATTTATATGTGAATGTAGATCATAAGCATTATAGTTTTAAACCATTAAACAAGCAATGGATCCCGTATGTGCACACAACTTTATGAATGATATTAATAGCTATATGTTGGTGAAAATATAGATAATCATGTATAATAGAGGTGAGAAAAAAACGAAGTGGAAAAAACAACGTTTGATGCTCGAAAAATCGAAAATAAGAAAAATCCGTAGCTAATTAGCTACGGATTTTTCTTATTTTCGATTTTTCAAGCACCAAACGTTGTTTTTTCCGCTTCGTTTTTTTTTGCACCTATATTATACATGATTATCTATATTTTCACTAACATATAGCTATTAATTTCATTTATTAAGTCGTGTGTACATACGAGATCCATTACTCGTTTAATGGTTTAAACTATAATGCTTATGATCTACATTCACATATAAATAATCACAAACACGTATACATACACGTTTACACATACATATATACCACAACTCATTCATGTATACACATATAAACTCATCACAAGTTGGTGAAAAATATAGTCATTACATTGTTAAACTGTGAAACGAGTACTTGATCTCAAAGGTGCACACGACTTTATGAATGATATTAATACCTATATGTTGGTGACAATATAGATAATCATGTATAATAGAGGTGCGAAAAAAATGAAGCGGAAAAAACTACGTTTGGTGCTCGAAAAATCGAAAATTAAAAATATCTGTAGCTAATTAGCTACGGACTAGCTATGGAATTCTAACGGAAAGCACATTCCGTAGCTAATCCGTAGCTAATTACCTACGGATTAGCTACGGGATGCGATTTCCGTTAGAATTTCGTAGCTACTCCCTACCTAATTAGCTACGAATTTTTCTTATTTTCGATTTTTGGGCACCAAACGTCGTTTTTTCCGCTGCATTTTTTTCACACCTCAATTATACATTATTATCTATATTTTCACCAACTTATAGCTATTAATATCATTCATAAAGTCGTGTGCACATACGAGATCCCTTACTCGTTTAGTGGTTTAAAACTATAATGCTTATGATCTACATTCACATATAAATACTCACAAACACGTATATATACACATATACACGTATATATATCACGACTCATTCATGTATATAAATATACATATGCAAAAATAAACCCATCATAAGTTGGTGAAAAGTATAATATATACATTGTTAAACTGTGAAATGAGTACTTGATCCCGAAGGTGTACGACTTTATAAATGATGTTAATAGTTATAAGTTGGAGAAAATATAGATAATCATGTATAATAAAGGTGTGAATAAAACGAAGCAGAAAAAAAAGACGTTTGGTGCCCGAAAAATTGAAAATAAGAAAAATCTGTAGCTAATTAGCTATGAATTTTTCTTATTTTTGAATTTTCGGGCACCAAACGTCGTTTTTTCCGCTTCGTTTTTTTACACCTCTATTATACATTATTATCTATATTTTCTCAAACTTATTGCTATTAATATCATTCATAAAGTCGTGTACACATTCGGAATCAATTTATAATAATAATAATAATAATAATAATAATAATAATAATAATAATAATAATAATAATAATAAAATAATAATAATAATAATAATAATAATAATAATAATAATAATAATAATAATAATAATAATAATAAGGAGCAAGTGTTTAAAACTAATAGTCGACCAAGGTTGTATGGATGTGGCATGCCCAGACGGTCGGTAAGATAGTCAGAATGTATACAGATAACCCGTGTTTGAATCCCACCCCAGATTTTTTTTTGCCGACCGTAGCTAATGCGTAGCTAAGTCGTCGCTAAAGCCCATCCGTAGCTAATCCGTAGCAAACTTCGTAGTTGGGCCATAGCAAATCGGTAGCTATATCTGTTAATTAAAATCCAACATCATTTCTGTGATTGAATACCCTCGACGTTTACCCCCATTTGACTCCGCGAACAGAAAAAAAATAAAATAAAACGCACTGAAAGGCACACACAACCAGCTCCCTTTGTCGGCGGCCCTCTTTTCCGACGACATTGCCTTCGCCGCCCGTCTCCACCAACTCGCTTTCTTCTCCGACGCATCTGCCCTCTTCTCTCTTGGCCTCTTTGCTCGATTCTTCCCCAAAAAGGTAAAACCCTAGTTTTTTTTCTTTTTTTTTTTGAAATTACTTCATGTATACAATTTAGATGCTTTATTCATTGATAATGTTAATATGTTTTGTTGAATGTGAGGTCAAATTTAAGGGTTTAGGTTAAATTTTGGTTGAATTCGATAAAATATGTGGTTAATTTCTTAGCTTTGTTGAAAATGTGAGATATGTTAGTTTAGTTTGTTAGATTTTTAAATGTGATATAAATGTTATATAAAAAATGTTGTGTGCTTCAATTTGTTAAAAATGTTAATTTTGTTGAAATGTTAGGTTAATTTTATAAATTTGCTAAAAATGTTAGATTAAATGGGATATTATATATGTATCATTAGTTATATATGTGTATTATGTTAAGAAATTTTTATGGGTTTTTTCATGTATCAATAGTTTGATATATATATATATATATATATATATATATATATATATATAATATATATATATATATATATTAGATTAAATGGAATGTTCAACTATTATCATGTTTAGTTTAAAGTTTTAACATTTTTTTTATCGAAATGCAGTTATAGATCGAAATGTTGTCTAATAGAGAATGGATGTACACAAAAAGACTCGATAGTCTTCGTTTGTTTAATCCACAATGGCCACATTATATCAATTTGTTTTTGGATTTTGCTTACGCGAACGCAACAAACATCCAATATATCATTAGGGAAGGGGTGGATGTTTTTGAAATTAGATGTCCATGTGCGAAATGCAAAAATATTTATTACCTTCCGAGAGAATTAGTTTTTAGCCATCTTATAACCGAGGTTTCATGGATGGTTATTCACAATGGTATTTACATGGAGAAAATATCCAACACTAGAGATAGGTCAATGTTCAAACCCAATTTCACCTCAACACATGGGTCAAAGTTCAAATCTTGAAACAGTTCAACACATTAATAACGATTTTAGTGATTATGATAGATACGAGGAGATGGTTATCGATAGCATGCATCAACAAATTAATTATTGTATCTTATACTCAATTGTTTTTAGTTTGTATTTTTAAATTTACTTTTTATTTTTTTTACAGACCATGTACAGGTCGCATTCACTAGAGAATAATAACATATTTGATTCCTTCAAGTGTGTCCTCAAGGATATATACAGGGATCGGATCAAGCGTATCAGGATTAAATCTGGGGACATGGCACGAAAAGATGGGAAACCCATCCCCCCATATCATTGTACCTACTTCGAAGGGATGCATAACTACCGCCCCAGGCGTGTATCGGAGAATGTGTGGCTACGTTTGTGTGATGTAATGGATATGATACATTATTATCTATTTTGTTGAGTTTTAATTTCCTATTGTATTAGTGTACTCATATTTTTTTTTTCTTTTCACAACATTGGTCCACATATAAGTGGAGAAAGAATTCAAAAATTGCTCAGCAGAACCGCAGAGTTGCAGATGCTAATGGGTCGACAGCAAGGCACACCGCGGGTAGTATAGGATTTGACGAGCACCGTAACAACTTAGTAAGTATCATAATTATGAATTTTATTATTTTATTTTTTTAACACTAACTACATGAATTATACTTTGTATTTTATGTAGGAAAAGATGATGGGTAAACCACCCACACAATTTGATGTTTTCTTGAAGACGCATGGCAAAGCTGAGGCGAATTTTTTTTTTTTGCGGGATATCATGAAAATCTCGAATATTGCTCACAAACTGCCAAAGAAGCACAAGTAACTTATCTTTTATGATTTATGTATATTGATTGTCTCAGTATTTTTTTACATGACAATAATACTGTTTTGGTAATTTGTAGGAGGCATATCTGCACGGGATGGTAAAAAAATACGAAGAAGACTCTTCAAACCATAAAGATGATGCGGCGGTATGGGAGGAAACCCAATTTAGGAGAACAGGAAAGAAGAATGGTGATATCTGTGGCATTGGAGCATCAGATATACATTTTGTGATTTCTGGGACACCATCTTCACAATCCACCCAATCCACCCAATCGGATAGTACACAGCAACAGGTGTGTTGTTATGGTTTAAAAGTTAAGTAGTATGCTGATAATATTGATTAAGTTGATAATAAACAAAAGTACGCTGCTATTATGGTTAAAATTTTGGTAGTTTGTTGATAATATTGATTAAATTGATAATAAACAAAAGTAGGTTGCTATTATGGTTAAGAATTAGGTAGTTTGTTGATAATATTGATTAAATTGATAATAAACAAAAGTACGTTGCTATTATTGTTAAAAGTTAGGTAGTTTGTTGATATTATTGATTAAATTGATAATAAACAAAAGTACGTTGCTATTATGGTTAAAACTTAGGTAGTTTGTTGATAATATTGATTAAATTGATAATAAACAAAAGTACGTTGCTATTATGGTTAAAAGTTAGGTAGTTTATTGATAATATTGATTAAATTGATAATAAACAAAAGTACGTTGCTATTATGGTTAAAAGTTAGGTAGTTTGTTGATAATATTGATTAAATTGATAATAAACAAAAGTACGTTGTTATTATTGTTAAAAGTGAAGTATATTGTTATAAGTATTATAAATAAAAATGAATTGTTATAATAAACTAAAGTACATTGCTAATATTGTTTAACTATTGAATTGTGTCGCCATTTTTTCAGGTTGATAGGTTGCGTGCACAAGTTTCTACCATGGAACAACAACTACAACAAATGAAAGAACAAATGGAAATGGTTATAAGGATGATGAATATGTCTGGAAATCAATCCCGTGGTCCCCTCGATAATCCACATGAGGACAATTGATATGTATTTTGGAACAATTGAATTTGTAAACTTTTGGTATTGTTTGTTTTGTTAATTAGTGCTTACTTTTGTAAGATATTTTGGACAATGGAATGGAATGTGTCAAACTTGGTATTAGGGACATTTTTTTGTTGTATTTTATATGGTATTTGGGACAAATATGAATTGAATGTGGTATTTGACAAAAATTGGAAATTAATTTTTTTTTTAAAAATAAAACGAAGTTAGCTACGGATTACCGTAGCTATTTAGTTCCGTAGCCATTTGGATCTGTAGCTATCTGGATCCGTAGCTATTCTGTAGGTATCTGGATCCGTAGCTATTCCGTAGCTATTTAGTTCCGTAACTATCTCGTTTCGTAACTATTCCGTAGGAAATCCGTAGCTACTTATTTCCGTAGCTATTCCGTAGCTATAGTAGCTATGGGATATTTCGTAGCTATTCCGTAGCGATTCTGTAGTTAATCCGTAACTATAATTTAGCCACGGGCCATTATGCTACAACCTATTTTCCGTAGCAATTCTCTAGCTATCCACTAATAGCTATGTAATAGCTACGGATTGTGTTGTAGCTATTGCACCAATTTTCTAGTAGTGTTCTTTCCTTATAATTTATTTTTTTTATTAAATAAGTAAATTAATAATAATAATACAGGGATCATGAACTAAATCTTCTGTTTGTTAATGCATGATGGCCTCCTAAAGCTCAAAATCCTCAAAATGTGCTTCACAGAGGTGGCTCTTTCCAAGCTGGCAACTTGTCTTTTTCAAGAGCTAGGTTTATACTTTGTAACATTTTATATGTACATATGACTATTTAGCATTATAATATAATCAGTTTATATTGTTGATTGAATTATTTGTTGATGCAAGAAAACACGCTTTAGAATCCATGAAAGCCTTCTTTAGCGATCAAGAAAAGAGACGCAAAAGAAGCATTTCCATGAAAGGTACATAGGAAAGGGCATTTACGTCTTTGAAAGAGTGAGTGTAAGTTCCTTTTCCATTATCATAACCTTTCTTATATATTTTTCATAAAATTCCTATGTATCGTCAGTTGTTATTCTGTTCATGTTGGATTTATATTAAAGGATAGTGAACCAGAGATAGTTATTCCTATCATTTGGCATTGTAATTTATGTCGTGTTTAATATACTGTAAACAGTTTTTGTTAACTAATAATCGTATAATCCTTCTACACCACTTGTTTCAAGGTAGTTTGTCAACATGTCTAGAATAAGAATTGAGGGACTTCTTGAAGCTTTTCCTAAATTGATTGGAAGTGGGAAAAAACACACTTATGTTGAGACTGAAATTGTGCGCTATGTTTATCAGCCAATGGAGGGTATATATATATATATATATATATATATATATATATATATATATATATATATATGTTGCTTGTTATGGGCATTTCAAGTGGTAATACATTTGGAGGTGGATCTGGATTTGGATTAACCTCTGATGTGGACTCCTTCTCAAGCAAATTTAAAGGTTGGCAACTGTTCATATCAACCAATCAGATATAAAATTTGTTTTTGGTTATTTAAATTTTTACCCTTTCAGTTCGTTCCATTGCTTCAGTTGCTGCTCCGACTAAAGGCAAGGGAATGAAACTAGGGAAATCACAAAGAACAAACGAGTTCTTGGAATCACGGAAAGCTGAAGGAGACACATGGAACATTCCTTCCAATTGGTATTTAGTTACTCTTCTAATGTGGTGAACACATGCAAGTTCATTTACCAGTTCTTGGTACTTTCATTTTTCAGCTTATACAACTTGATAAAAACTGTTCAATGCAACAAACAACAACATACTTTCATTCATAGAGATTACTTTTTATATGTTGATAACATGTGATATTTTGTTTAGAGTGATTATATTCAGTAATAAGATTTGTATTTAACTTTTTACTATTCATATCTACAGGAAGACTAAAGTATTGTTCTGTGATCAGGTTTTGACTCATCGTGTGGGTTCAATGTGTATGCTTTCATTGATATATTTTGAGATCTTGAAGATGCTTCTTATGTGGGGTCTTGTGAATTATGATGTTGAAATATTGTCACCAAATGATTCTTATGGTTCTCCTAGAGGCTATCTCAAACAGAGAAGTACAGAGTATGATCATCAACATATCATGACAACTGAATCACTAATACTGAAGGTGGCTTTTGTCTTTTTTGTTGAGATATTCACTTGCAGGTTCATCTACTAATTTTCAGTTATTTCTAATGTTAGTAACCACGTATATTAATGGTATAATATAGTTACTCTTCATCATGAATCCTCAACTGTGTTTTTATATTTATTAATTTTTTTTGGGTGTATTTACATTTTATATTGGATTGGAGGTGTCTAAAAAGCTGAAAATCTTACGTGCTTCTTGTTTTAATTTTTTGTATAGGTATGGGCTGTATTGAGGCCTGGATTCTTTGCAAAAGGTGTTTTACTACATGTGTATTAAATTTTAATATTTTATAACATAGATTGATGATGTTTGAAGCCTTTCTAAATACTAATGTGTTGATGAAATCAGGTATCATGTGGAAACAAAGCATAACAATAAGAAGTAGAAACAAAAAGGTGTTCCTATATACTAATGTAGTATTAGGTTATATAGTTAGGGAAAACCTCTTAATAACAATGTACAGTCAGATCCCCTTAAAACCAATGTAGTACAACTTTTTGACATGATGTTATTGGATGAAATTGATTGTTTTGGTATATATTTGTTTCCATATTTTATTATGCGTAAATGAGTATCGTAAAGACGTGTGGTAAATGTATATCGTAGATGGTTGCTGAAGTTTATGACATGCAAATACGTGTCATCTTCATTTATGACAGGGGATTTAATGATACACAATGTGTGTCCTAAACGCACGTCTTAAGGTTACGACACACAAATGTGTGTCATCTTCCTTTATAACAGGGCCTTCCTTGACACACAATGTGTGTCATAAATGCACGTCGTAAATGCGTTTCGTAATTGAGTGTCATAAACGCGTGTTATGAATAGACGACACGCAAAAGTGTTTCTTCTTTCGTTATGATAGGGCCTTCCTTGACACGCATTTGTGTGTCGTCTGAGCGTTTTACGACATGCATTGCGTGTCGTAAAAGGATGTTTTTCTTGTAGTAATTCTTGATAAAATCCATAGTAATCTCTTTCAATTTCAACATGGGGATACATAAGGGTTGAACCTTGCTGTGGGGCCTCTAATGCTCAACTTTGACCTTCCTGCAGGTCAAACACTGTTAGATAAACAATGTAACCTCTCGCTTCATGCAGGGCCACCAATAACTCAACCTCAAGTCTTGATACACCTTCGTGGCCCCCGGATGGATAGAAAAATTGGATTTGTGTGCCTCCTCAAGTATCTTTTGTCTCACACCCCCGGACGTTGATACCCAAACTCTATCACATTGAGTCAATAAACCCAAACTGTCTCGAACAAATAGTGGAATCGACCCCCAAATCCGCTCAACCTTCCAGTTCTCCTTTTTCTGTCCCCCCACCTGAGCTTCCCTGATCATATCCAATAGAGGTGAAATCACCGACATCCTCAAGAAAACATCTCGGATCAGAGCACTTTCCGCCTTACGGCTCAAGGCACCGGCCACCACGTTGGCCTTCCTGTGATGGTACAAAATCTCGCAATCATAATCTTTTACTACATCAAGCCATCTCCTCTGTCGTATATTCAGATTCTGTTGATCCATCAAACTCTTGTGATCAGTGAAAATGGTGCATCGGACCCCATATATATAGTGCCTCCAAATCTTAAGGGCAGACACCACCGCCCCTAATTCCAAGTCATGAGTGGGGTAATTCACCTCATGAGGCTTCAACTGCCTCGAAGCATAAGCAATCACATTCCCCCTCTTCATTAGAATCGCTCCTAATCCCAAAATAGAAGCATCACAATACACTACAAAGTCATCCAATCCCTCGGGTAGTGCTAGAATAGGGCCTCGCATAATTTCTGTTTCAAGGTCTCGAATGCCGTATGCTGACCTAGAGCCAACCAAAAGGTCATGCTTTTCTTGGTTAAACGGGTCAAAGGTATGATGATCTTGAAGAAATCCTGAATAAATCTCCGATAGTACCCTGCAAGTCCTAAGAAACTCTGGATCTCGGATGCGTTATTCAGAACCTCCCAATGCATCACTGCTTCAATTTTGGCTGGATCAACCAAAATACCCTCCTGATTGATGATGTGTCCCAAAATCTGCACCACCCACAACCAAAAATCACATTTGGAGAATTTGGCATACAGTCTCTATGTCCTTAAGGTCTCTAACGCCTTCCTCAAATGCTACTCCTACTGCTCCTTGGTCTTAGAATAGACCAAGATATCATCAACTAAGACAATCAAAGACCGATCCAACATCGGTCTACAAACCCGGTTCATGAGATCCATGAATGTTGTTGGAGCATTGATGAGTCCGAATGGAATCACCACGAACTCATAATAACCATAGTGAGTCCTGAAAGCCGTGTTCGACATATCCTCATACCTAATACTTATCTAATGATACCCTGGGAGAAGATCAAACTTTGGAAAACCAAGATGCACCCTGAAGCTAATCGAACAAATCATCAATCCTCGGAAACGGATAACGATTTTTCACCGTTAGCTTGTTCAGCTCTTGATAATGTATACATAGCCTGTGTGACCCATCCTTCTTTTTCACAAACAGGATCGGTGCTCACCATAGGGGATTTCTTGGACGAATGAACACTCGGTCTAGCAACTCCTGAAGCTACGTAGACAACTCTTGTATCTTAAGCGGAGCTAGGCGGTTTGGTGCCTTGGCTATCTGAGCCGCACTCGACAGTAAATCAGTACAGAACTCCACTTGCCTCTCTGTAGGCACCCTAGGCAGATCTTCTGGAAATACATCATGAAAATAACGCACAACCAGAACACGACTCAACTATGACATGGCCTCAACCCTCGCGTCCGAAAAATAAGCCAAAACTTAGTGCAACACTACTAAAGGAGTCTCCTAGCTCTTGCACCTGAGCAGATGGCTGGCCCGCGCGAAGTTCTTTCCCCATGAAAGACCAGTTCTCCCCCACTTGGGGTTTGAACTCTCACTCGCTGGTGCTCGCATTCTATAATGGCCCCATTGGGCCCAACCAATCGATCCCGATGATCATCTTCAGTCCTCGTAACGGAATTGGAACCAAGTCGATATGAAACCTATCTCCGAACACATTCAGGATACTCCTTCGATGATCAGCTTCAGTACTCTACAATCTCCACCTCAAGTGGGGAATCCAAGGTCCCCAGTGCATCTCGAAACTTCTTGCTGAGCACAAGAGATACGAATGATCCGGTGGCCCCCAAATCGAAAAGAAAAAGGTCCCTATACAAGATCATAATAGCATAAGCATAACAATAAAATAAAAAAGACACAAAATAAGTCACATACCAGTCACGACATCTGGCGCTGTTCTCGCCTCCTTCGTGGTCAACTGAAATGCATGACTTTTCAACGCAGGAGTCTCCGCCTTAACTGGGCAGCCATCAGTGATCCTTATGGTGGCGGGCGCAGGTGCCGCCACTGGTCCTCCTTGTCCCATCAACCTCGGAAAATCGACCTTTTTATGATCGGTCTGGTTGTAGTGGAAACAAATCAGGCCCTTCTTGGGGCAATCCCTGCTCACATGGTCCGGCCGGCCACATGTATAGCATATTGGACCTTTCACTCGACAAGCTCCACTATACGACCTCCCACACTTGGCACATCGGCCACGACCGAGCTGTCCCCTGCTAGAAATATCAGAGCTCTTAGGCTTTTTAGCCTGTCTTACTGCTGTCTGAACATGATCCGGCTTCCACTTCGTGCGGAGCTCTAACTCAATATCCTGTTCCCGGGCCTTTTCCACCATATCATGGTCTTGTACCCCGAAAAACTTACGAACTCTGGAATTACATCTCTCATCATGGAATGATATATGGTCTTCTTCATCTCCTCATCCACAGTGTACTATGAAACCAATAACACTCGCTCCCGAAACTTCGCGGTGACCTCCGCCACAGTCTTAGTAGTTTGTTGCAAATCTTGGAGCTCTCTCACCCACTGCTGCACCTCAATAGACGGTGCAAACTCCTGATCAAATCTCCTCACAAACTCTTTCCAAGTTATCTCAGCCACACCTGCTGACCCCACCTTGCGGGTAACCTCCTCCCACCAGTCTCGAACTCGATCCATCAACGTACACGATGCGAGCCCCACCTTTGCCACCTCGGGGAAAATATATGTGCGTTGGGCATTCTCCATGTCTGCCACCCAGCGTCGACTCGTCATGTGGTCCCTAACCCCAAAGAACTCAGGCGCCCCACACGCCTTAAATCCCGAAACGAGGGATCTCGGGCTCCAATCTGGCCTGCAACACTATCGGCTCGAAAAGACCTGATCCGATCCTCCATGATCTCCATAATACCCTCATTGACGGTCCCGGAAATCACCGAGGTAGTTTCAAGAATTCCATATGTCACCTCGGTTGCAATAAGTTCATGCAGCCTCTCATCAATGGGCTCTACACCGGAGCCCGACCTAGATCCCGATCCTGATCCTAAACCTGGAGTGATCATCGCCATCCTCAACTGAAAATACCACAAAATAGAATGATAAAGATATTCAAAAAGTAAATCCCTCATCCTCACCGATCTCCTTAGAGCTTCCAAATCTAACATTGGTTCGGGTACAGGTCATGTGCTTTCAGTAGTACGAGCGCAATACTACTTTCAACACCTACATGTACCTTCCTCAAAGCTCTAACTGAAAACTCTAATTCTCCCTAAAACAATAACATGAACCATAGAATACCACATAACTCAAATCCTAGGCTATCCTAGGATTTTCTCAATTCCCATCAAATCAATCATAGCAGGTTGCCCTATGCATATACACAAATAGAATCACATACACATTCAATTAAGCATCTACCCTAGATCACAATCCAGACAAGGAACAATAATAAGGCATAATTCATCATTCTAGGAATATGCAATCCTAAACGTATACAACTTTGAAAGCATACACATAGCAAAATCCATCCAATTATCAAATTCCAAATATAACTATAGCTTGGCTAACATATTTGGGAAACACTTACTTGAGCTCGACCGATTACGTGCATTACACTATCCCTATTTCTTACAAAGTAATCGATTTCAAGAAGTTTTTAACTTTTGATTT